GGAAGACAGGCCTCCCCAGGAAGACCCAGCCTATTAGGCAATACCCATGAAGTGCTCCCTGTTGGCCCAGGTACATCACAAGGGACATGGGACTTTGTTCTGAATAAGGAGGGGAACTGGATAGTTTTAAAACAGGGAATTGACACGATCTGACTTCTGTATGCTTGGACACTAGGTTAGTTCCCCATCCAGAAAACCTCCTCCTGCATCTGCCATTTGGGCCTAACATTTAGAATCGATGCATGATTCCCTTTACGGCTCAGTGACCACTAAAATGCATACAGTCATCCTATGTAAATCATACATCAAGTTTAAAAAATAAAAATAAAATTGTAAATGTAACCTCATGCTTGGAAAATAAAAATAACGCATCCTCTTCCTCCGGGCATGATTTAACAGTTGTCCATCCACACTATGACGCAGACTACCAGGCTGGGATCTGCTGGCTGGTGAGTTCCAACCTCAGCCCTTCTTCCTCTATCCCACCTCCTTAACTCCCTGGATGATTCAACACCTATCTGCAAGCTCCTTGAGGGCAAGGGCCAAACATGATCCATTCCATATCTTTCCTTCCCTAGTGCCTACTGTAGTAGTCAAGAAATACCTGATCATTAAGATAGTCACTTATACCTTAGCACGAAATTGAACATCTGTTTCTTAAGAACAGGCTTTTCCAGGGGTGCCTGGGTGGCTCAGTCGGTTAAGCGTCCGACTTCAACTCAGGTCATGATCTCACGGTCTGTGAGTTCGAGCCCCGCGTCGGGCTCTGGGCTGACGGCTCGGAGCCTGGAGCCTGCTTCCGATTCTGTGTCTCCCTCTCTCTACGCCCCTCCCCCATTCATGCTCGATCTCTCTCTGTCTCAAAAATAAATAAACGTTAAAAAAATTAAAAAAAAAAAAAAACAGGCTTTTCCAGGGAAAGGTGGCAGCAAGCACAAGAGTTTAGGTGCCATGTAGGGGGAGGGCACAGCACAGGGAGAACCAGAGTTGCAGATAGCAGTCCTGAAAGAAGACCTGAGTGGTCACCCCTATGTTTTGGCGTCCAATTTATCACTGATGAACAGGTAATATATTATTCTCATTTACCCAGAGGTTAAATGACATATCCAAGGTCCCACCACCCTTAGTAAGCCATGAAGACAGGGCAGGAGCTCAGGTTTCCTCACCGCAGGATTAGAGTTTTCCTATTGCCCATAGGAAGGCAACGCACACTGTGCCCACCTCATGACTCTATGGGACTGGCCCTGGCTCCAGAGGTGAGGACGCAGAAGGGTTCAGGATCCCAGCACACCAGGTGTATGTGCGAGTTGGGCGCCAGTGGGGTGACCTGCTAAGAAATGTCATCAGCACCAAAAGCTTGATGCACAGAAGCCCAGGTTGTAAGAATGCAGGGCTGCCCATGACAGTCTCCCAAGGTAACTACAGCTAAACCAGGATCTTCAAATATAAATGTGCCCCTGGTCAGCCAGCAGCAATATGGGCAGCCCAGGACAAGTACACACCAGGAGATGAGGCACGTTCCCTTGGCCCAAGACTGATCCTCCTCTGTCTGAGGCACTTGTCTGCTTCAGCTGAGAAGGGAAGGCCTCGGGGGTGTGGGGCAGGGGTGGGGGGAAGGGCACGTGCTGAGCCAAGCAGATCAGCGGCCACTGCCCCCCAACATTAGCAGCAGGATGTAGCCCCATCTCCCTAGGAGCCCTGGAGAGGCAGAGCAGCAGAGGAGCCCAGGACCAGTTTCCCTCCCCTCCTCCACGCAGAACATCAGCCTGGGAACCCCACAGTGTTGGGAGGAAACGCCTCTAGTCATAGATTAACCATCTGCAGTGACAGAGAAGGAATCGAAGGCTGGGAAGGATTTTGTTTAAGTATAATAAAAGTATATTCAGGCAGCCTTGCATAAAAAGCCTTCATCCAAGATAACTAGCAGTTTAGGTGAGCCAGGAGGCACATTTATTTTGTTGATTTGGGATAGAAAGACCTGAAGTGGGGAGACTTGGCAGGTTCTCCATACACTTCAGGGGGCAGGTCCTTCCCAGGGGGCAGCCTGATGTGAGGGAAGGAGAACAGAGTGTGGCGTGCAGTCAGAATGAGGTCTGGTCCCTGCCTGAGCCTCAGTTTCCTCCTCTAAAGGATGAAGATCCACCCAGTCAGTGGAGGGAGGAGGAGGAAGGCAAGGATTGCAAGAGTGAACGGATTATTAAAAGCCAAATCCACACAGCTAAGCATAGCAATGCCCAGGTTTTTCTCTCGCTAAAACCTCTGCCAGTGCTGAAAGGAGCCTGGGGATAGGTGCAGATGGCCCAAGTTCCATCTGCCTCCTCTGGCCTGTCTCCTGCAGCCTCCTCCCTGCACTAAAGCTCAGGGCTACAAAGGGGCCTGTCTCCTTGGACCTCTACTGGGCCCTGGAGGACCAGACAGAACCTTCTGGGACCATGGTTGGACTAAAGCCTTCAGACGTACCTCCCACAACAGCTGTGAAGTTCCTGGGGGCAGGCACAGCGGCCTGTTTTGCTGATCTCCTCACCTTTCCACTGGACACAGCCAAGGTTCGCCTGCAGGTAGGTGCTTTTTGGCAAGGGTCATTGTTCAGATCAAAGGAGGGGCTGAGTTCTCCACCCCAGCTCCCCTCATGTCTGCCAGCATGCTCTTCCTTACACAGAACCCTGAGCAGGCCACTCACTACTCCACTGTTTCAACCCTGCCTCACCATTTTCCCATCACCATCATCCAAGACAAAAAAAAAATCTTAATTAATCCCTTGGACCCTTCATGGCCTCACAGTAGTCTGTAAACCATAAAGTGTGAAGTAAAAGTAACCATGTGACCTTGGACAAACCGTCAACCACTTGTGGGAAAAACAATCTGCCCTCCATGTGCTCTGAGGGTTGAGCACCACACTGTGTATAACAGCTTATGAGCTATAAACTGCCGCACGAGCCTCAGTTATTTTTACTGGGGATGTGATGGCTGTATAATCATGCTTGTTCTTGAAAACCAGCCCCATCAGGGTGCCTGGGTGGCTCAGTCGGTTGAGCATCCGACTTCAGCTCAGGTCATGATCTCGCGGTCTGTGAGTTCGAGCCCCGCGTCGGGCTCTGTGCTGACAGCTCGGAGCCTGGAGCCTGTTTCGGATTCTGTGTCTCCCTCTCTCTCTGCCCCTTCCCTGCTCATGCTCTGTCTGTCTCTGTCTCAAAAATAAATAAAAACATTAAAAAAAAAAAAAAAGAAAAAGAAAAAAAGAAAACCAGCCCCATCTGCCCCCTCTCCGCTCATGTCTCTGCCGGGATGTTCCTCAGATCCAAGGGGAGAACCAGGCGACGCAGGCAGCCCGGAGAACCCAGTACCGTGGCGTGCTGGGCACCATCCTGACCATGGTGCGCACCGAGGGCCCCCGCAGCCCCTACAACGGGCTGGTCGCTGGCCTGCAGCGCCAGATGAGCTTTGCCTCCATCCGCATCGGCCTCTACGACTCTGTCAAGCAGTTCTACACCCCCAAAGGATCGGACCGTGAGTGTCTGGTATCTTGTAGACACCGAAGGGGTCGGCAGAAGCATACTCAAGGCTAGTGGGTCAGAGATGAGGGCAGTGCAGACTCAGAGGCAGAGCTGGGGCATGGGAGGCTGGTAACAGACACTCATGAGGAGGCCGAGCCACTGTCAGGAAAGCTCTAGAAGCCTGGCCTAGAGAAGAGGCAGGCATCAGGCAGGGGCAGCTCCCCAGAGAACAGCATCAAGTCCAGAGAAGGGCTGGGTGGCAGAACACCGGCCCACTCTCTCTCCTTCTCTCCAGACTCCAGCATCACTACCCGGATTTTGGCAGGCTGCACCACAGGAGCCATGGCGGTATCATGTGCCCAGCCCACGGACGTGGTGAAGGTCCGATTTCAGGCCAGCATACACCTTGGGGCTGGGAGCAGCAGGAAGTACAGCGGGACAATGGATGCCTACAGGACCATCGCCAGGGAGGAAGGGGTCAGGGGCCTATGGAAAGGTAGGTCTGGACTCCAGGCTCAGAGGGCCTTGGGCAGAGCATTCCCTACCCTAGGGCTAGGGCAGAGTACTAGGCAAGGAGAGATCTCCAAGCATGGTGTATTCCAGTGATTCTGAAAGAACAACCCAACCAAAACTGTCGCACTGCCCTGCCACAGTACCCCAAATTCAGTTCAACTTGTCAACCTTTCAGCGTGCACAGGCTGCTGTGAGGGAGACAGAAATTAATAGAAGACACTTTCCACAGCCTCGTGGCTCTCACAGAGATAAGCCATGTCGAGGAACAGCATTCCACAGGGGAGGATGTGCTAGGTTCATACAGAGGTGTGGGGCCAGAGGCAGGAGAGGCCATGTAGTCTCCAGGGGTGGTGACAGAAGGTGATGCTTAAACTGGGCCTCAAGGCTCAGTGGGCTCTAGATGTGTGGAGATGGAAGGGAAGGACTTCCCCAGCAAAGCCCTATCAGGGGTGACTACAGGACATGGAGAAGAAATAGAGGCCACTGGAGGAGGCAGCTATGAGTTGTCAGGCACAGGGAGGTGCGGTGTGGAGGGGGCTTCTTCAGGAACAAGACTTCAGGATTCCCCGTGTGTCCAAGTGGTGACTTTGACAAATGCCGGAGTCTCTCTCACATGTGGATTGGGGGTCATACTAATCTTTGCAGAAGGAACAGTGACCCAGTGAAGGTTAAGGACAGGACACCTGGTCACAGCGTTATTTGCTATGTGCTTTCCCAGAACCCAGCCCTCGTCTATGATATCAGTGGCTTGGCCTTGATGCTCTCCTGGGGCCCCCCAGGGCCACCTTCCATCACTGCTCCAAGAGCCTTGCCTCTCTCTTCCAAAGAAACACTTCCTTGTCTGGCTTTAGCCAGTTCTCAGGGAAGCTCATTTTAATTTTGATAGGTATTACAGATTATTCTCCAAAATATGGCTCAAGCAAATATAAGAGGGCCTCTCTGTTTTCTGTCTCTGAGGTGGATATAGATAATCTAAGAGTTGTTAACTCCAGAGAGGAAAGTGTAGAATCTGCTCAACTGAGGCAGGCTCCTCCGTGGAGCCTCCCTGGAATGGAACATTCCATTCCTCGCTGGAATGGAACATTCTGTTCCCCAAACTGGGGCCTGTGACCTTACAACCAGGGAGCCCACATCTCCTATTTTCCACTCATCGGCCCTCACCTCCTCCTTAACAGGAACTTTGCCCAACATCACAAGGAATGCCATCATCAACTGTGCTGAGATGGTGACCTATGACATCATCAAGGAGAAGCTGCTAGACTATCACCTGCTCACTGGTGAGGCCTTGGGCTCCAGGCAGCTGCCCTCCCACAGCAGGGAGGGAACCTAGAATTACAGAGTGGGCACTACTCAGAGGCACCTGGGTGTTAGAAGGAGCAGAGAGAGGAGCAGCGCCCGATAAAAATGTCCAGTGTAGGAGCGCCTCTCTACTTGCTAGATGGGGTGCTGCCTGATTCATGAATCGTTTAATAGAGCCAATTAGATCTTTTAAAAAATGCCCGGTCCATCATTGTGACAAGTGGGAAAGAGCCCTGGGCGGGGAGGCCAAAGACCTGGCTTCCAGCCAGCACTTCCCACCATGCCTCTTTAAGTAAGAGTCTCCTTCTCTGACTTCATTTTCCTCTAATGAGGTCATTGGGCTGCATAGCCTTCCAGCTCTGGGACAGCCCTGTTCTATTTTGCAAGTACTGTGAGAGGTTTAGACAGCACTATCCTTACACGTGAGGAGTTCACAGTTTGGTGAAGGACAAACGATGATGCACATGGAACAGAGAGCAAGTGTGCTGCCATCTCACAGCTCGATATTTGCCCTGCCCTTTCCTGCTACAGACAACTTGCCCTGCCACTTCATCTCTGCCTTTGGAGCCGGTTTCTGTGCCACAGTGGTGGCCTCCCCAGTGGACGTGGTGAAGACCCGGTACATGAACTCGCCCCCTGGCCAATACCGCAGCCCCTTGGACTGTATGCTGAAGATGGTGGCCCATGAGGGCCCCACAGCTTTCTATAAGGGGTGAGCCTCCCCCTTCCTGCTTCCAGCACCTCCTCCCAGAGAACCCGGGCTTGTTTCCTTCCCTCCTTCCTTCTTCCCCTCCTTCCATGTATAATGTGCCTGCCATGGGTCCACCTGGGGACATGGTGGTGAACAGCACAGATGTAAATGCGTCAAAGGAAAAATATAAAGAACTATGGGAGTTAAAAAAAAAAAAAGGGGACCAAATCTGATTTGGAGAGTCAGGGAAGGCTGCCTGAGAAAAAGAAGTCTAGGCATAGGTCAGAGTGCTTATTGGGCAGGAGAGAAGGAGGGAGAGGTGGTTGGCAATCTTGACTTTTCTCCAACCCACAGTCATGACTGTGGAGCACCACTGATGGCGGCCAAAATGCCCAACACACTTCACATTGTCTTGCTTCTGTGTCTTTGCTTTTACCATTCCCTCTTAATGGAATGCCTTAAATCTTAGCCATGCTTCAGAACTAGTTCAAATGCCACCTTCTCCCCAGCGCTCTCAGGTCAAATTTTTCCTCCTCCCTGTGAGCTTCAGCAACGCTTCCTTGATATCATTTTTTATGGTATTTACCACCTCCTACTTTGTGTTATAGGATTTGTAAGTTTCAATTATCCCCCATGCTAGATCGTAATGATCACAAACTTAAAATGTCAGAGCCGTGGCTCTAACCCAAATCATCAGATGCTACCTCCCCACTTCCACCTCCTACCACTGACGCCTTCAGCAGACAGTTTTCTGGTGCCCAACCATAGATTGGACCAAACATGCAATCAGATTCTCAACCCTGGGAGTGACATAATAAAACTATTTCAGTTGGCAGATTGTTCTTTCCCTGTAAGTGCTTCTATCATTACAATCGATCAGTGGTAGCCACCTGTCTCAGTTCATTCTTTCACTTGGAAAACATTTACTGAGCATCTCCTGTGTGCTGGGCCCTGTGCTTCCCTCAGAGAGCGGCAGACACATGGGTGACATTTATTGAGCATTTACTGATACTGGGCCCTGCACCGTGTGCTGTATAGTAACTCACTGAATCCTTCACAACAACCCCTATGAAGTCAATATTGTTATTTTGCTTATTTTACAGATGAGGATGCTGAGGCTTAGGAAGATTCAGTAACTTGTCCTAGGTCATGAAGCTAGAACCTGAAAGAGCTAGGATTTGAACCCAGGTCTGATTCTGGAGTTCATATTCATTGTCTCGGTGCTATACTCCCTGTGGAGCCTAGGCTGAGGGTTCTGGAGAGGCCTTGGGATGAGGTTGCGGTGCCCAAGCGAAGCCCTCCAGAGCCTAGAGCAACCAGCCAGGCAAGGAAGAGAGTAGGGGACATTCCCAGACAGAGGGAGCATCACGAGCAAAGGCACGGAAGCAAGGCTGGCAGGAGAGAGAAGACCTGGAGAGGATCTGCAGAGAGAGAGGCTGAAGAGGGAGCAGGGCCAGGTCACAGGCTCCTCCCTGAGTCTGCGCAGCTAAGGTGGGGACTGTCTCCCAGCTGCACTAACACAGGACAGGCAGGCTCTCTGGAGATTGGCTAAATTTGGTGTCACCCAGTCTTCACCCTGTGGTGAGCCAGCTTCTAGGTGCCCTGGTGGGACCCCCTCAGGGATGGCCCCTCAGTCTGTAAATGATCCCAGAAACACCCAGCAGCAGGGTGGAGTCAGGTGGTTTTAGTTGAGCTCCTTAACTGCCCTGGGCCTCAGTTTCTTTTGAAAAAGAAACCTGGCAACCATCACAGCTACCTTATAGAATTATAGGAATTAACTGCCTAACACAGAACCTGGCTCAAAATGTGTTTTCTTTCCTTTCCTTTCCTGACTGCAGCTTCTGCCTAAATTCCTTCAGCAGAGAAGAAAAAGCCTAAACAGATCTCAGAAAATGCTCACAACAGAAGCCTAGGTCCTTTGGCACTAACACTGTGAATGGGGGGAGCACTGGAGATCTCTTTGGGACTCTTAGTCCACTCCACCTGATGTTTTGGTTGTTTCTCTCATCAGGTTTACACCATCTTTTTTGCGTTTGGGAGCCTGGAATGTGGCGATGTTCGTGACCTACGAGCAGCTGAAACGGGCCTTGATGAACGTCCAGATGCTACGGGAATCTCCATTCTGAATAAGGCAGGGCCGCTTGGTACTTAAACTGGAACAAAACCAGTTAAGACTTTACTAGAGCAGTGGGTCCATACACACACAAACCCACACATGTTTACAGAACTGTTTACTTGCTGCTAAGTCAAGAAATAGAAGCGGAGGAAGGATTCTGGTCTTCGGTGCTTTGTCTTAAGAACACAGTTGTTTTGCACTGACAAGATGGCAAATAAATTATATTAATTTGGGGGACCCATTAAGTTGGATGCCTAATATTTAGGCAAGAAAAAATAAGCCAAAACATCCATGTGGATAAAACAGAAGTTTGCAAACTATGTCCTTTAAAAAATAAATTGATTAGATGATGAACGGTAGACAAGAAGGACTGCAAGCATGGGACGGGAGTGACACACGGTGCTTGGAAATCAGCTAAGGAATTTGGAGGGACACTGCCAAAGCAACGTAGCTGTGACTGCAGCCTTTGGTTAACCGTGGATCTTCAGCCATATGTGTAATGTGTCTGCCCTTCAGAAGCCATTGAGATTCTAGAAAATATGAGACGAGAGAGAGAGAGAGAGAGAGAGAGAGAGAGAGATTGAGAACCTGGAACCTGTGCCAAAGGAGCACTGCTGGGCCAGCAGGAGTTTGAGGTTTGTAACTGTTCCCTGAGGACACTGGAAAATGAAAAGGGCAGACTCCATCTTCTTTCCTGTAAAATGGCAGTCATAAACCCTTCCTTCCTATCTCACCAAGGATGTTATGAGGATCAAGTGACAAGGTGGACATAAAAGCACTTTATAAAAGCAAGAGCTCTTATATTTACAAGTGTAAATATAAGGATGAGGCCTTGGGAGCTATTTTCTCAGGACAGTAAGGAACTTCCAGGAAAGTTGTTGAAAGGCTGAAAGGTTGTCTAGAGGCTAGACCAAAGGAACGAGGGGCTGGGGGCCCAGGGGTGACAGAGGATGACACGCAGGCACCGAAGCCCCACTCCCATGCAGCCCTCGCTTCCCAGCTGGACTGTGAGGCACCTCAAAGGGTGCCAGGCTTGGGGGGAAAGAGGTAGATGTCAGGCTTGACAGCCTGAAGTAGCAGGACTCAAGAGTTCTTTGGAAAATTATTATAATTCAATAAAGGGTGTGGGAATGAGAACAGCTATTTCTTTTTGCCTCCTCTTTCTTGGACAGAATGCCTCTTTCTCACCAGGTTCCCTGTTTGTCAGGGCTGGGCCTTTGGCCCCACGTGCCCCAACTGCCTTCTGCCTTCCCCAGGCTGGTTGCTAGGCTTTTTAGGGCTTTGGCTTCTCCATCTGTATGTAAAATGCGGGCTTGAACCAGATGACCTCCTTCTGAACTGCACTGGACTTCTTTCAGGTTGATAATGCAGACCCAGAATGTTGGTCTTTTTCTGCTTCTTAGCAGCCTATGTGGGTCTGATGACAGAACTGGGTTCTGTCCCCTCCCCCACCTCACTAGCAACCTAACCACTGGAAATCCTTGTACCCCAGTGTCCTAACAGAGAAGTGGAAATGACAAGCCCCCACCTTGCAGAAGTGCTCAGCAACATCATCCCTCCCTCTCCACTCTGACCCCCCTGCATCCTGGGAAAAAGCAAATGTCCACTCGCCCTCAGCACTTCCCTAAATTTAAATTATAATTTAGAGATTATCAACATATACGAACAGGAAAGTCCAAACAAAAGCAAAAAAATAAAAATGATTTTTATTTAATGTCTGGTTTGACTTTCAAATAAAACCTATATTTAAATTTTTCTCTTTCTTTTGACTTGACTGGCATGTGCAAATCATTCTTAAATCCCAGGTCTCAGTTTGTAAGTTCCTAGAGGCCAGGAACTATGTCTTCCATGAATTTCTATATAGCAACATTAACACATCCTCTACCCAGAGCAAACTATTCAGATATTCAGATGATGCTGCCAAAAGAGAGAGGGGATCAATTCTACTAAGATATTTTGATTGGGATCAGCACCTTAGTGACCTCTGAGTCCAGACTCTTGGAGAAAGGAACACAAGATTAGTGGGAGATCTTCTACAGTTTCCCAGGTAAAATATTAGATCTCTTTCCCCACTTCTTAAAAGCAGAGGTTGAAACAAATGACCTAAAGCTCTAAAATTTGGTGATCGTAAGGACTGAGTGAGACAGCTTCCTCTAAACCACACTATGCATGCCCTTCCTAGTCCTGACCTCACTCTCTGCCACCAGAAGTCATGAATGAGATCTCATAAGAAGGTCAGATCACAATCTGAGACTCACACAGGGAAGCCAGCTTCTTAGCTCTGTGCAGCCATTCCCCACTGCACACCCACAGACACCTACTCCATCAAGTCAGTAAAAGGAAAACTGCTCTTTCTCAAACTCTTCAGGCAAAAATGAGATAGTATGGGCCCCAACACAGTCACATTTGTGACATAATGGATAACTGACTTCATATAAATCTTGTAAGTAAAGGTAGTATTTTTTAAAGGAACATTTTATTCAGAAGGAACGAATGTTAAGTAAGGAAATACAATCATATCTCTATGAATGAGTTCATTTGTGTCAGGACACTTTCAAAATTGCTGAATGCTAATATAAAGGACAACCTTCCGTGTATGTACAGTATAAGCCACATATTGTACTAAGTGCTGAGATAAACAAGGCCAATCCAGCCTCCAAGGAGCTGAGGTGGGGGATGGTGGGGCAAGGAAGACAAATAAGCCATATGGAGTGATAAAAGCCACACTAGAGATATGCATAAGGCACCGAAGAGCAGGGACACAGATTAGGGACATCTGACCTGGTTTGGGGTCCAGGAGGCTTCTTGAAGGAAGACACCTACAGGACAATAGGAGTTATCTAAACAAAAGAGGGTGCTTCTGCTAAGGCCCAGAAACAAAGCAAGAACAAGGGGCATCCAAGTTTTGCCAGTTATCAGTACGACTGAGTTGCAGACCTAAACGGAAGCAATGAGAGAGATGGGGATGACAAAGAAAACAGGGACCTTGAAATGTTGTAGAAGCTACATATTATGGACTGAATGTTCGTGTCCTCCCCAGAATTCATAGGTATTAGATGAGGTCATGAGGGTGGGAACCCCATGATGGGATTAGTGTACTTATAAGAAGAGGAAGAGAGACCAGAGCTCTCTATCTCTCCACCACGTGCAGACACCGGTGAGAAGGCTGTCTGCAAGTCAGGAAGAGGGCCCTCGCTAGGGAACCAGATTGGCTAGCACCCTGATCTTGGACTTGCCAGCCTCCAGAACAATGAGAAATAAATCCGTTATTTAAGCCACCAGTCTATGGTACTTTGTTATGGCAGCCCGAGCTGACCAAGACGCCACATTAAGGAGTCTGGAGTAACTGGGTAATGTGGAGCCACTCAAGTGTTTTAAGGAGGGAATGAGTAGCTGCACTGTAGAGAATAAATTAATGGAGTGGCCTCTGGTAAGATGAGGCTATTGTTGAAACCCAGGCAAGGGTACTAACAGTGAGAGTTCAATGAACAGAATGGTAATAAAATCAATATTCCTTGGAAAGATTCAACCTGGACACAGTAGTAAGAAAAGAGAAGAATGATACGTGTTTTAAACACCATAGGAATATCCTCAATAATATTCCTAGCAAATTATTTCCTGGCCCCTGAACCAAATCGCTTGGGTATTGGCAGCCTCACCACTTCCAGCTCTGCCTAGGAGAGAGCTTTCTGATAATGACCCAAAGGTACAGACCTTGTACCATTTATTGCTTTGCCCACTTCTGTTATCTCTTAGACATACGCTGGGTCTGACATACATGGCAAACTTAGGTGCCCCTCTGATAGAGGCCCACAGCCCTGGTTACACTGTTTACCTGCCTGGCAGTCCCAGGAGCCTGTAAATCCTTTGCAGGCATGCATGGGGTCATGTTTACAATTGCATCTCTCATCCTCTGCAGAGTGCCTAAGACATTGCAAAATGGGTTTATAAATGAATTTTTCGTTAATTTTTAAAAATACACATAATATAAAATTTACCATCTTAAGCATTTTTAAATATACAGGTCAGTGGTATTAAGTGTATTCATACTGCTGTGCAACCATCCACCCACAAAACTCATTTTTCATCTTGCAAAACTGAAACTGTCTTCCTACGAAATGTAACTCTCCATTTCCCTCTCCCCCCAGCTCCCTGTAACCATCATCCTACTCTTTTTTTTTAATGTTTATTTATTTGTTTTGAGGGGGGAGGGGCAGAGAGAGATAGACAGAAAGAATTCCAAGCAGGCTCCACGCTCAGCAAAGAGCCCGACATGTGTGCAAGATCATGACCAAGCCAAAATCAAGAGTCAGATGCTCAACTGACTGAGCCACCCAGGCACCCCCGTCATCCTACTTTCTATTTCTATGAATCTGACTACTCCAGGTACTTCACACAATCATATAGTATTTATATTTTTGTGACTGACTTATTTCATTCAGCACAATGTCCTCAAGGTTCATCCTTGTTGTAACATGTGTCAGAATTTCCTTCCTTTTCAAGACTGAATAATATTCCATTATATGTATATACCATGTTTTGTTTATCCATTCACCTGTTCATGGACACTCAGGTCGCTTCTACCTTTTGGCTATTGTGAATAATGCAACATGCATGTATAATATCTTTTCAAGACCCTGATTTCCATTGTTTTGTGTATATCCCCAGAAGTAGAACTGCTGGATCATATGGCCATTCTATTTTTAAGATTTGAGGAACCATCATACTGTCTTCCACAGTAGCTGTATTCTACATTCCCACCAACGCTGTACAAGAGTTCCAATTTTTCCCACATTCTTACTAACATTTATTTTCCTTTTTTTTTTAATCATGGATGTGAGGTAGTATCACACTGCAGTTTTGACTTGCATTTCCTTAATGATTAGTGATGTTGAACATTTTTTCATGTGCTTATTGGTAATCTGTATATCTTGTTTGGAGAAATGTCTGTTCAAGCCCTTTGCCCAATTCTAACTGGGCTCATTTTTGTTATGGAGTTTTAAGAGTTCT